AGCTTTAAAAAATTAATACTCATGTCAAGGCACTTTATTCAGAGATTTAAAAAGACTCCAAGGTGAATTGGTGAGCTTTGAATTTCAATGCTTGTATTGCTTTTAAAACCTTTGTAGCAAAAGAACAATTTTGAAAGCTAGGTGCATTGATATAAAAAGTTTGTCTTATGTCAAAATTCAGGCCTAATGGACTTGATCATTCAAGTAGGTTATGGGGAGAGAAACAGTAGCTTATTGAGAACGAAAAGGCAAATGCACTATGTATTCCCTGATACACCCTTTGAGATGGGATCAAAGAGTATGAATGCATAAGGGAGTGAATGGCTTTAGAAACATTCAGAGAAGCAGCGAACCCCGGAAGGCATAGGATCAAGTGGACCACTTTCCTGAGAAAAGTCAGCAGGAGGCTCTCAGCCCCTGTGAGAACATGACCCTTCAGCTCAGTGTTAGCAGTGTTACTGCAGTAAGACTTGGAAGCAATGGTACAGTGCTGATAGTAGAAGGCAAAAAAGTGGCGGAACCTGAATAGAGCTCCAGTCCCATGTTCTATGCTTGAAAACTGAAGACCAGGAATATTTCTGAATGCCCTGGGAAGAGGATGCAAAAGGATCAAGGAAGCTAAGAGACTTCCAGGAGGAGGAGAGGCTGACCAGAGGTTAATGATCAGAGCCATGGACTCTCTCTAGGGATGCCTGAGTATTAGCCCGTTCCCTATTCAAAGGCTAGTCTCATGGTGGCTCAGTGGTGAGAGTCTAGAGAAAAGCTCGGACCAGCTCCCTATAGGAGACAGTCTTCAGAGATCCCTGAATATTTGAGGACTTCATCTTTCTCCACTCACACTGTCACAGAATCATATAAGCCTTTCTTTGAATATATCCAGATGCTGCTTGGAGAACAATAAAGGGAGAGGAATACAACTTTAAGTATTTAAGCATTTACTTGGATTTTCTAAGCTGGGGCTAGGTACAGACAAGCAGTTTTCACTGTTGAATCTCACTGAGATAGCTGGGTTTTGGCAGTGAGACTGGAAGGCATGTGTTTCCCAGCCCGCAGGCTGGCAAACTCTTTTCACATGAAAGGTGTTCATTCTGTCATGTAGTAATCATTTTTAACCATCAGCAAGATGACTTCTGGGCTAGTTTTGAATCAGTACATGTAAAGGTCAAAGAGTTTTATAAATGATATATTATGACTATTTCCTTGGGCCATTCTATATCTTGTTTATTCACCATTTTTAAAATGTTTAAGCTTAAAATATTCACTGGAGCTGAGAGCAATGGGTATTTTTGGCATTTGACCTCTATAAATGCCTCAATTTTTCTTAAAAAGGCTTTCTTTATATCTAAGTCTGTCACTTTGGGGTGCAGTTTCCAATATGCTAATGATCTTAATAAAAAATAACCACAGAATTACCAGAACTTCATGTCTAAATGACATCCTTGTTTTATTATAACTATGGAGAGCAAGGGTTATTGCCTCAGCTACCTTGGGAAGTTTCAAAGAGTTAAAGAGATTGGACTTTGAAATTTTTTTCCCCTTAATCCTTAAATGGTTGCAAACATCTATGGGCCATGTGGTTTTTTTCTTAACATTATCTGGTGGATCAATATGATGCTTTCATGCCCTTTAGATTAGAAACGTCTGGTTTTAAATCCCCAACATATACTTTAGGATTAGAACTGAAGTTTAGTGCACAGCCCCTGATCATCCGGGGCTGGGTCTCACTTCACAGGTCACATCAGTGATTGCTGAGGTGCAGTAGGAATCTGGCAACTTTAAAGGAAGGGTAAACCACAGGACCTCTCCATCTACTCAGTGGTACCTGCCCCTTCTCCCTCACTGAGTCTAGTATAAAGTGTGTATCAATGTAACAGCAGCACGGCAGACGAAAGGCAGTCGGGCAGGCATTAAATTTAAACCTTCAGGGAGAATGGAGGGGAACAGTGCAGTGCAGTGGCAACAAAAGCTATAATGCTCTTTTTTTGCAAGTCTGTTTTGTTGTAAAAGAATCCAGGCTAGCCACATATGAATCATCCTGTCCAGCACAGAACACTGTGGCAGTGTGAACTGTGGCTGCTCTTCTGATTATGGCTTTTGGTCTCTGGTTGCAAAACTATCCCAGAACATTTTATGATGAAACTCAGATCAGTTCAGTTAATGACTGTGGAGTACAAGAGGAGGGTAATTTGTCAGCAGTTTCATCAGGCCAAGGGACCAGAAGGCTAGTCTCTGACGCGACGATACTTTTCTGGTCATGAGATCTATAAAATTGGACCCTGGGTTATCGTTGCTTTGTTTTATTGCAACAAAGTTTAGAACATGCTGGCCACATTTTCTTCTAATTTTTTAAAACTCAAGTCTCTGAAAGATACTGTATGATGGGGTCATAAAAGATTGTATTTATACATATAGATATGGCATGAGTGTTTGAAGACATGGAAAAAAGAGGAGAGTGGGCCATGAGTCTCATAAATAATAAATCTTATTACCATCTAGATGTAATTTGTTTGCTAACATTTTCTATTGTATTATTTTTATATGGTGAATGGCACTCAAGCTAGATAATACAGAATTCTCATTATATTAGTAATCTAGAAGTGGCGTATTATGCTTGCAAAGATGCTGTGTGTGTATCTCACACATATTTCCCATCCACATGTCATTCTTTAAATATGACTAACACTCCTCTCCCCCAAAAGGAGGTCTGTGTTACCTTTCATTGTATCTGCTTGAAAAGCTTGTGACTGCTCTGACAAATAGTGTGTGTTAGAAGTGATACTATGTGACTTCCAACGCTAGGTCATAAAAATAATGCACTGTCTTCCTGGCTTCCTCTCTTGGGATGCTTGCTCTTGCAATCTAGCCACCACACGGTGAGAAAGCTCAACGTCGCCCATGCAGAGAGACCACATAGAGAGTCTGTGGGGAGAGGGGCTAATGCCCTAAGCTGTCAGCCAGCATCAACTGCCACAGCTGAGTGAATGAGCCTTCAAATGATTCCAGCCTCAGCCTTTAAATCTTTTGACTGAGACCCCAGACCCCAGGCATTGTGAAGCAAAGACACCTTCCTTGCTGTACTCCATTTGAATTCCTGACCCACAGAACACATGACAGAATAAGTGACTCTTGTTGTTTGAAGCCACTGTTTTGGAGGTGATGTGTTATGCAGCACCACAGCTGAAACACCAGAGCTTTGTTGAGGATTTATTTTTGGCAGGGGGGTCTTCTACCTTGGAGACCTATGGGTTACTCCTGACCTCTGACTTGCATAAATGTCCCTCTTCATATGGGGTGCATATGCTAATAAGTCTTCTGGCTACCTGACCTCTATATTTCTAGGATGTAATTCCTTTTCATACTTTGCAGACAGGGTCTTTTCAAGAAACTTTTCCTGAAACTCCTGGGTTGATTTAGATGCCATTTTTTGGACTCTCTTAGCAAATCTGTTAACAGCAATCACAGTGTGCTGTTGTGTTGATATACTTGCCTTTTTTTCCTACTAGCCTGTGAGTCCAATGCAGCATGGGCCCTTCCTCCTCATTTTTCTGTTTATCATGCTAGCATTATTTCTGGCACATGAGAGGTGCTTAATGAATTCTCACTATAGAATTGGTCAGTTAGAACTTAATTTACCCAGGCCTTGACTCAGACAACAATGAGAGAAAAAATTCCACTCAGACAATGAGAGGAAAAAGAGTTTCCAGAAGTGGGATAGCACAAAATTGAATGTCTATGTGAAACTAGATAATTTTTAACAATGTCTTAAAGAGAAGTTTTACTTCTCAGAAAGTATGTAAAATTTTAACTGGCTTTATAGGGCATGAAAGAGTCATTGTGATCTAGAAGGGCAATAATCTGTTCAGCTCTTAGTGGACTTCAGAAACACTGGGTGTCTTACAAGAGAGCATCACCGGGAACTGGAAACTGCAGCTAGGTTAGGGAGATTATATTTCTTACTATCGCTTGCTTAATGTTAGGGTCAGATGAAAGGGAAGACAGTCTTCAATTCTGTGTTATCTCAATAGTTCATACATTTAGTGTGCCTCATGCATAGAGAAATTTTATCATAATGCAGATTCCCAGGCCCCAGGGTTCAGAATTCCAAAGCACTGGATCTTGGATAAACCTGAAATATGAATTTTTAATAAATTCTCTAGATGACTCAGATAAAGAAGATCCAAGGGCCATACTTTGAAACAAAATAAAACAAAACATGGTAAACTGAATAATAAAATTTCCCTACAGGATACTTGTGGAAATTGTGCCCCAGAAACTCTATAACGCACTTGACTCAATTACAGAAACTGTACACAGAAACTTGATTTTTAAATTTCTAGACGTGAGTATGTTAAAGATTATTTTAGAAATTACTATGAATAACTGACATTTCTGGGTTGTATTTAGGATTTAAATCTAGTTTAGGTTGAATCCAGTCTTTTGATGATGTTTGCAGTGAGAACAGAGGATGCATCCTGGGAACATTTCCTTTCTTGACTGCTGAGTATCTCCCAGTTCTCCTTTGCACTACCTCTTCTCTTGTGTAATTATTTCTCTGTGCCCCTCTCCAAATATCTAGCCTCCATCTTGTATTTCTTCACAATCTTATGTCTGCTTTATGTGTTAAGTCCTATCTGACAATTTTCAAGGGAAGTTTATCACCAGAAAGATATGACTGTTTCTGCAATTTTGACCCCATTCCAGAGGATATAAATAGATTCCTGAGCTAAAGGATTATGACATTTACGATATAACTACTTTATTAACTTTTGGCTTTTAAACACAATCATTGAAAATATGATGAAAAAATTATCCAAGTTAATGTAAAACTAATACCATGCTTTGGCTTTGTTTTGTAACTTCCATGGAATTTGCCTTCTGTGTTGGTGGTCAAAGCACTCATCAACTGTTACATTTTCAAATGGCATGATTCCTAAGTGGCTATGTTATTTTAATCTGATTTCTTGCTTTTATTTAATGTAATGAGTCTCTTTTTTCTCTAGGATCATCTGAGAAATGTATTGCAAGCAGCATTTGGTTATTATACCCAAAGAGGCCTGGGACTCACATTCATCTTTCAGTGCAATATTTACTTAAGGTTATCATATATGAGGGATATAAGAAGTTTCTTCACCTAAAGAAATAAACATGTTAAAATTTTGTAATTAAACTTTCTATGAAGAATGAAAAGTTGGAGTTATTTTAACAGTCTAATAACGAGTGGCTTTGCAGAGACCGTGACAAAGGGCTGGTTCTTTCCTGGATCTGGGGAGAAGCTTGTGAGCAGTTATCTGATAGACGCAAGAAGTCTGTGGAAACAATAACAAATAGGGCACAAGAGACCATATAAGATCAGCCAACAGATGGGACAGTTTGTCTTTGTATTCATGTCAGGCTGTTTGTTCTAGGATATGTACCATATGATAAAATAAAAATGTAACTTTATTTTTGTCTCCTACTTTTAGGTAGGGTTCTCTAGAAGAGTGTGTGAGTTGGAACTCTCGTATAAGTGATGTACTGAAAGGGTCTTCTTAGGAGAAGGGGAGAGAAGGAAGCAAGACAGGCCAGAGAAAGAAAACAAAGTAAGAATGTGGTCTTGACTGAAATCTGCCTACAGCCTTGTCCTATGGGGACCTGTGCTGCACGAATTGCCCCAAATTTGGGTCCAACCTGAAGTTCTACCTTTTGTACCTAGAGTCGGCCACTGTGTGTTTGGGGGGCAGTGGTGGACAGTTAGTAATTTGGGTGAGGTGACTTCTGTTTAAGGTGACTCTCTGGTGAAGGAGAGTAGTGAGCTGTGGACACTAGTGTGCGGAGTGGCCTGCTGAAGGGATCTAAGTGAGGTATCAACAGCATCCACTACATTTGTTTTCCATTTAAAATTTATTTAGTGTGGATTTTTTTTTCCCCCTGCTGTCGTGGTTCATAGCTTTTGTGGTTACTCTTGGACAACTGATAATCCTACAGTCTTTTAAGTTGAAAGACAGTGTTTTGATTAAGAAGTTAGAGTGTTCAATCTAATGTATTAAATAATACTTCTCATTTTATTCTAAGATGTCTTATCTCTCCTCCTTCCCTACCACTCTTGCCAACTTTCTCAGGTATGGCATAGTAAGGCTGGCCATATGGCTTCAGGAGCAAAAAGGTGGGATGACTTATTACTTGCTCATCACTTCCTCAGAGCAAGCTGCTGTTATTGACCTTTCTGGGATTACAGTGTGTCAAAAATAAGGGAAAATGTACCATATGGCCTTCCTTGACCAGTAGGAAGATCAGATGACTTTGTATCCCCTGGGCCTGGTAGGATGGTACTTTGTGTCATGGATACTTACGTGGGGTTTTAGAGGCTCTCTTACTGGCTCCTCGTGACTCTCCTCATGGCATTGTCCTCCTGTTGTGGATAATGCCTTCTGTTCCCCTAGCTTTGCCCATCTATATGATCTTCTTGGGCAGAAGTCACAGTAGCACTAGGCTGGTCTCTTTTCTTTAGAGCTCGTATCTGCTCCACAAGCAATACACATCCTTTATTCTTGCAGGCTGAGCAGGTGAGGAGGGAGGCAAACTCATCTCAGCAGCAAGCTTTTTCCACTGCCAAAGAGGCTGCTTAGCTTGTCTCTCTTGCCCTTTGATTTCTCATACCAGAAGCAAGCACCAGTCCGCTGTATTTATCTAATTGCAGGAGACTGATTCCAAGTTCTACATGTAGTCCTGTTGAAGTCACTGTCTTATTATGCTTTTCCTCACTAGTTTATCATGACAATTTTCAAACATGCAGTAAAGTTGAAATAATTTCCTGTGAACATTGGCATACCCACCACCTACCATTACATTTTACTATGCTTATCTTTTAAGGTATGTATTTGTTTATCCATCCACCAATCCATCTTATTTTTTATATATTTCAAAATAAATTATAGGCATCTATATACTCTCCTGTAAATACCTCAGCATGCATATCATATATTGAACTAGAGTTCAATATATGTTTATATTTTTCTTTAGATATAAAATTTACATACAGTGAAATGTACATATCAAGTGTATATTTGCTGAGTTTTGAGAAATATACTCACTTATGTAACCTAAAGTCCTATCAAGATATAGACATCACTTTGTCCATATGGAGGTAGTGTGGAAAAATAAAAAGATACAACCATCACCCCAGCAAGTTCTTTCATACTTCTTTCAAGTTAATTTCCACACCCTTCCCCACTAGAAGCAACCATTGTTTTATTTTTCCACCATGGTGGATTAGATTTGCCTATTCTAGAACTTCACAAAAATGAAGTCATCCAGTATGTCCTCCTTTGTATAGGGTTTCTCTGATGTATTCTATGTTTCTCTGACTTATTCTATATTTATACAACTATTCTACATTGTTGTATGTATCAGTAGTTCCTTCCTTTTTAATTGCTGAGTAGTGCTCTCTTCTGATAAGTTTTAAAAAGCATTCAATTGATGGGCACCTAGACTATTTTTAGTTTTTGACTAATATGGATAATGTAAAGCCACTGTCTTGGTTTGAGATGAAGAGAAGAGCTCATCTTGGGAGCGTAAAGTGAGGCTTGATAATTGTAGTAAGGAAACAGTCCACTCCAAGAAAATTTCTTCACGAATTCTCTATAATCTCTAATTTTCTTGATTCTTCTATATCTTCAACGAGGGACAGTCATCAAACTGGTTCTATGTTATCTACTTTGTTTTTTGTTTTTAGAGATGGAGTTTCACTCTGTTGCCCAGGCTGGTCTCAAACTGGCCTCAAGCAATCCTCCCACCTCGGTCTCCCAAAGTGCTGGGATTACAGGCATGAACCTCCATGCCCAGCCCCACCTATTTTGAAAAGAAGCTTTTTATTCCATTTGACAGCACCCTTTAGTCTTTGATATCTATGGTATCTTGGCGTCTCGGCTGAAACTTCCAATCTAGCAAACTCTGATACTCATTATTCTTTGAATTTCAGCAGAAAGAAGGAGCTGCTTTGGTAGAAGGGACTAATGAGGCTATATACGCTGAACACTTCAGATAAGTTGAAGAGGAGAAATTTGCTCACAAATAGCTTTGGCTGTCAAGTGGTTCTCCAGGCATGTGTTTCTCACACAATGTCAAACAGCCAAACCAGCTTCTAGGCTGCTCTTAATCCCAGTGTCTTGCTGAAGGAGGCCCTTGAATTTCTGGCATCATGAGTTTGTTGACAAAAATGACCTCCGTCAGTCATTGCTAGTGAAGCTAGCCATGAACAGTAAAATAATGGATTTTTCTGATCACCTTTGGACTTTGACAGACATCGGGTGGTACCCTTGCAGCACTTCTTATTACTGCCGTCATGACTAACGCGGAGGTTAAGATCTCTGGAAGCACAAAAGGAGGCATTCTCAAGGGTGATCCATACTAATGCCCTCATAGGAAGGTAGGCACTGCATGAGAAGAGGTAGTTCCATAACTTACTATCTTCTTTTAAGTGCAGTGAAAAGAAAAGTAGAGATGAAGAAAGCTGAAAGGCAGCTTTATACAATTGTACCTTTTCTGTGGTAGGATAAAGGAAAAAGAGTGAGTCTTCAAAGCCTCTTGAGGATGGGAAAAGATACTTAACATATTTGTTATTAACAAAGAAGAATATGATTCTCTTTAAAGACCAGGTACTATCAAGAAAATAACTCAGTAATTTTCTCCTTACTCTAGTCAATTTGATCTTGAGAACATTTTATTAAAGTTTGAGACTCTTGTCTTTAAAATGTTCCCTGAGTCATTGTGGAATAAGATTTGACTTTATAAATTATTAACTAGTTGTATAAATATGTAATCAAATATAATTAATAGGAAGATAGGCTTTTACTGGCTTTTTAGGGGAAAAAATTTAATAGTTTAAACTATTTAATAGTTTAATATTTAAAAAATAGTTTAGCCAGGCGCGGTGGCTCAAGCCTATAATCCCAGTACTTTGGGAGGCTGAGACGGGCGGATCACGAGGTCAGGAGATGGAGACCATCCTGGCTAACACGGTGAAACCCTGTCTCTACTAAAAAAAAAAAAAATACAAAACACTAGCCGGGCGAGGTGGTGGGCGCCTGTAGTCCCAGCTACTCAGGAGGCTGAGGCAGGAGAATGGCGTAAACCCGGGAGGTAGAGCTTGCTGTGAGCGGGCAACTGCACTCTAACCTGAGTGACAGAGCAAGACTCCGTCTCGGGGTAAAAAAGGAAAAAGAAAAAAAAATAGTTTAAACATTCACAATATAGACCTCTTATAATCTTCAGAATCCTTAGAAAGTTTCTTACCTGTTTTTACTATTGATGAGTATTTTCCTGGGCTTAAGTTAAATGTTCAGATCCCAGGTAAAGTATTTGGATCAAAGGATAAGTTATAGAAAAAGTGTCATGGTGCCTAAGAAGATGCTGTGCAAATAGTAGATGCTTAGTTAAGTGAATTAAATTATTTATAACATCTTTATGAAAAAGGATTGACAAAATACTATATAACAGATGAAAGTGACTAATCAAACAAAGCAGAACATCGATAAAGTAAAGATATAAACATAAAGTAAAGCTAATGGTAAAATTAGACTGCAGAATATATACTGTAAAATCCTGAGGGAATGTTCCCACTATTTGCCTCTGAACTTTCTGGCAATCAATAAAAGAGGAAAGCAATCAAGATACATAGCTTAGCAGATGTCTGTAAGATTAAACAAACCAGTTGTTCAAAGGAAGCAATCTATTATTAATTGTTGAGAATAATTTTACCTGTAGGTCATCCTTATGAGGACATAGGATAATGTCATCAATGATGTTCTCAACAATATCCTCATAGAATATTCCTCAGTGTGTGTGGATGGTATAATGCCAGCATGAGTCAGTAAAAGCAGTTTTCAAATTTTTCCTTGGGGAAAGATAGTGCATAGATAAAGGTGCCCCATGTAAGCAACTTCATAGTGGTGTGGTTCAAACTGAGGTTAAATTGTTTTGGATGTTAAAGGAGTGGCTGGACTACTTGGACTTTAGGCAATTCTCCAGAAATACTTCCTTTGACTAAAATTTGGTAAGTCCTGAGGGTCAGTAAGTTTGAGGTTATTCTCTCTGATAAGTACCTGGACTGAAGATATTCTCTCATA